CATTAACTTTGTGACAATTTTACTACTAAAGTTGCACAAGCTAATGGGCCTATAATCAGCAAATGTCTCCGGGCTAGCTTTTTTGGGCAATAACACAATGGAGGTGTGAGTAATAGACCTGGTGAACTCCCTACCAAGGAAGTAACTTCTGACCATATTAACCACATCCCCCTTAATGATATCCCAACAAGATTTATATAATGCCCCTGAAAACCCATTTGGGCCTGCGACACTAACAGAATTCATGTCAAACACAACATTTTTAATCTCATCATCCTCAGGGATAGCAACAAGCATAGCATTCTCATTATCAGTAACTAGACGCGGCATACAGTCAAGTTTAGACAAATCAAAGGTACCTGCCTCCGCAGTGAATAGACCTTCAAAAAAGGAGACAGCATTTTGTGCTATCCCCTGTCTATCCTCAATCCATTGTCCTGTGTCATCTTTTACCTTATGAATATAGAGTTTCCTTCTTCGTTCTTTTACCATCGAGTGAAAGAACTTGGAGTTCCTGTCACCCTCCTGGACGGCCACCATGTGAGCCTTTTGTTGCCAATATTCTTCTTCGATGGAAATCTGTCTTTGCAAAAGAGCCACGCTCTCATTATAGTCAATGAGTGCCCTATCATCATCTAGATTCTGTTGTGACACCTCTTCCAGCGCCTGCATCTTATCTTCTAATTCCTGCAATTTAGAAAAAATATTACCAAAGGTTTCCCTACTCCAAGGAGCAAGAACCTTCTTTAACCTGGACAGCTTAGTAGCCAAGACATACATTGGAGCACCCTCAACAGGCGCTTCCCAACTTTCTATAACCACACGCTGAAAATCCTCGTGTTTGGTCCACACATTAAGAAAGCTAAAGTGTTTTGGAATAGGTTGAGCAGTTATAACTTCAGAAGTAACAAGTAACGGACAGTGATCAGACATGATCCTAGACAAATGCATAACGGATGTCCTGAATATCGATTCCCACACCAAAGTGTAAAGAAATCAATCCAAGCGCATCCAAATGGCAGCGTCCTTACGCCTCCCATTCCACCAAGTGTAAGGGGAGCCATAGGCAGAAGAGTCAATCAGATCACACGCACTGACACACTTTCGAAAATCAGTAGTCTTCCTATGAGAATAAGGAAAACCCCCTTTTTTCTCGTCCACATTTAGCAAACAGTTAAAATCCCCCACCACAGACCAGGGGACACCGGAAGGGATCCTATTTGAGACTGCGAGTAGCTCATCCCATAAAGGAACCCTTAGGCGGTCCCTAGTCTTAGCATACACAAAGGAAAGCCAGAAAGCAGAAGGAATAGTAGCATGACCACATGAGACAGATACCGATTGATCATACTCAGATTCAAAATTCAAAACAAGGTCAGAGTTCCAAAAGAGCCACAACTTATCATTAACCCAGCAAAAGCAAAGGCAAAGCCAAGTCGCAGTCTAAAGCTATCCAACCTATCAGTACTACAAAACGGCTCAAGGAGACATAAAATAAAAGGCTTATGTTTTCTGAGCAACAGATGCAATCTCTGAAAAGAGCCCTGCGAGGCAATACCCCGCACGTTCCAAACAAGGAACCGCATCATCAAAAAGATGGAGACTGAGAAGAGTTAGGAGTGCCAAAGGCCGCACTACTCCGATCCCGCTGCACCTGAGATGTAGTATACTTGCCACCAAAGGGCACGCGAGTAGTCCTAGGGGGCGAACCATGGCCCACCGGCTGCTTATTACGCCCCACAGACTCAAAGGTAGCAACTCTACTAGCGACGAAAGAATCACTATCATCATCATCAGACGCCTCGCTGTAGAACCCAGCAACGTTGGAGCGCTCCGACGTTAACCGAGTTCTCCGATGGCGCCTAACCGGCTGAACACCTGGAGACACCGTGGGAACGGTGTTCTGGTTTGTGTTTACATTACACAATCCAGTCCCCCCCCCCCACCCCGAACTGGTGTCAACAAGCCCTCAGAGTCAGGAGCAATCAAAGGAGTAGAACAAACCTTACCAGTATAATTAGCAGTTCCTGGAGTAGATAGAATATTAGAAGAACCTCCCCCTTTATTCGGGGATTGAGTATCGACCTGTGATGAAACTTGGGCTAAGCCCTGACCAGTTGGTAAAGGAAACTGTGTATTTAGCCCCTCTAGCGAGTGAAGACCCTCCTGTGATCGAGTATCTACCTGTGGTGGAGCATGGTCAAGGCCCTGAACAATTGGTAAAGGCCCCATGTTTACTTGAGGTTGTGTGTTCATCCCCTCAAGTGACTGATTTTTAGGGTCTTCTTGTGCTTGAACATGAGGGTCCTGAGGAACCTCATCGTGGCCGAGAACCGAGGCCAAGTGGTCATCTAATGCACTATCAAAATCCTGGATGGCAGCCCCATGGGCCAACTCAGGTTCCTGATCATTTTGAGTATGGGCTTCTTGGGCCTGTTCTGTAACCTGTACATCCTGCAAAAGATTAAAAGCATTACTAGTAAAGATAGGGGTTGGAGCCGGAGGTTGGGAATGTGACAATCCCACCTCAGGTGCAACACCTGAAGTGCCAGGCCTATCCCCATCTTGGGGGACTAAGAAAGTCACATGATCCCGTCCCCGATCAGTAGTAACCAGGTCCTTGCCCTTATCTTGTCTCCATCTTTTAGATGTGTTTCTCCTTTGACGTTGATTCCAACCTGCAGTTTCCTGAGCTGTATGGTTCTGAGTGACCGGGGGCCGACCAACCCCACCTCCTAATCTCTGATTGCCTCCTCCAGAAGGTGGAGGGTCACGAGGGGCCGAAGGCAGATTAGAGGGGCCTCCGCCTCCACCACCGTCTGGTGGTGGTTGGCCTGGTGGCGGGTGGCCTCATGGTGGCTGGCCCTGACCACCATTGAGGCCCGAAGGCCTAACTCCAGAACGACATGATGGGGCCAAATGCCCTTATTTCCTGCAAATTAAACAATAAGGAGGAACTTTCTCATATTCAATAGTCTGCCAAAACCCATCATCCTCTTTACCTGGTTTTTTACTTCCCATTCTGATAAACATTCTAGTCTTAAGTGGCGGTAGGAGGTCAACTTCGACCTTAACCTTCGCCACATTAGGCCTAGAAAATTTTGCAGTTGCAGCATCAACATGTAAAAACCGGCCAATTGGCTTAACAATTTGTTTCAAACAAGGGATGGAAAAATAATTAGCTTTCAGATTAGGCAATAAAGCCCACACCAGGGCCAATGAAGTCTCAAAACAAGTATCAAAATCAGCAGTCTAATGAAACAAGCGCATGGGATAATTACCATTAAACGAAATTTGACCCTTAACCAAAATGTCCACACAATCATCAGGATGGGAGAATGCTAAACACATGTCTAGGGTCCATTAGACCAATTTCTACTGTACCCCGAAGCACAAAAGTTTTAGCAAAATAGGACCGTATTTCAGATAGGAGCGGTTTACCATGCCAAAATTTACCGACTAACATAATATTTTCAATCCTGTTCATTTGTTGAATTTCACTATCCTCAAAGGTAATGCACGGTTCACCACGATGTATTTCTACAATTTTTTCAGAAATAATAGGCACCGGAATAGGGCTAGAAATTGACACATTATGTCCACCTGGATTCGAAGCCGTAAATAATTGAGCAAATGAACGAGATTGCGTACCTAAAGTCAAATTAACCCTTTGTCTTGAGTTATTTCTGCGGATAGTTGGTGGATGTGCCGTGACACCCCCACGCACAACGCTTGGATGATTATTAGGAGCATTAGTAACACTAGGCAAAGCATTGCCAACATTTTTAGGAGTATTACTAACACTAGGCAAAGCCTTATTTAATGTAGCATTAGCATTATTTGAAGAATTCAAGCCATGTATAGTAGATATATTTTGGCCACCCCCTATAGCAACATTATTAGCAACATTACCATCCAAAGTGACCCTACTAGCAACATGAGCTGGATTGTTTGGGTTTAATGTCACTGCCGTGGCATTATATAAGCTGCCCACAGTGGGTGGATTATCAACAACACCACCCACCAAATTCGAACCATCAATAGTAGAAATAGGCAAATTGATATCATTATTTAAAGGGTTTGAAACCACATTATTAACACTACCAAAAGCAAGAGAAGGATTATTAGCAGTAGTACCCAAGGGGTTCGAATAAGACGTACAAGATATTGGCAGTAGTATGACCATTTAACAGATTTATTCCCTGCCCAAGTGAATTAGCATTAGTAGCAGCCCCTCCCATATTCGAAACTATAGGCAGAGTATTGACAGTGGGATTCTCGCCATTACTTGCAGATTGGCATTATCTATGCCTATGCCATGCACAAATGGTGAGGTGTCATTATATCCAGCAAGATCAGAAACATTACCTCTAGTATTGTCACTTGGTGTAACCTGGCTCAGAATTACATGTTGACTCAATGGTGGACGACGAATAACATCTGCTCCGTGCACCACGTCAATACCACCCGAATCTCCGGCGATATGCGAAACCATAGTCTGCCGTGCCGACGTAAAAACGAACGGTGGTGGGATGGCCTGCTGCGCTTGAATTCGACGACTGGGGTCCTGAGTACCCGCTGGAGCAGTCGCCCCTGCTGAGCAGAATCGCTCGGGGCCATCAGCTTTCCAGCCTCATCGCCCCGTAGCAGTTGCATCGGCGATGAAGAAAATGCCTGAGATGAATCGCCAGCGGAACAAGGGGTGATAACTGGCATCGGCGCGGAATAGCCCATACGTCGCAAGTCCGCGAGGAATGTCGCAACAACCGCTACTGCCGATTCTGGGGGCTGTGGGGGTGGGTCCCCCGCCTCCATGACCGCCTCACCAAATCAGAGACGGCCAGCAAACTTTTCCGCCGGAATTAGGTAGTCGGCGTTAGGTAAAGAAAGTCCGAAAGTTTTACGAAGGGGAGATCGCGATTTTCTCGCAATCGCCAGAGCTAAAAAATGTGTTTACGTGTGGTAGGTTAGCCTAAATATAATTTGCATTTTCCATTTCTCACGTCATTGATTTGGAGGATGAGGATCAAGCACATAATCTTCCACCAGCTATGCCCATTCCTACTGTGGATATTTCACCTTCAATTCCCCTTGTTATTCTTGATTCAGACAATGAAGACTCTGGGAGTGAGATGTCTAGCTGTCCATACCAAGGGAATTTCTCAGAGAATACTGGTGATGACATTCATAAAAATGATACTATGGTAATTATATTCTGAATATGACAGTTATTGGAACTGTTCTTTTGCTCTAAGTTAATTATTTTTCTTACATTTTCTTGTGGTTGGTGTCATTCGCAAAAGGAATGTGATAATGCTGGACACCAGACTTTGTTGGGAGGAGCAACTCTGTGTAGCGGAAATGAAAAAAAAAAAGACAGTGGTGTATTTGTTGGTGTAAAAGATGAGGAAAATGAGCAACCTGATGATGATGGTGTCGATGATGTTTGGAAGGAAATGTCATTTGTTCTGGAATACTCGAAGGTACATTTGTTATTGTTCTGCAAAACTTATTTGTTTAACTATGATGTTGTGTCTCTCATGGCTAGTTGTCTTAAGGAGTAATATCGATTTGATTTGGGCATAGTTATCAATTTTTTTTTGTCTATAACAGGTTCTCAACTGCTGTTAGAATTCTTTTGTCATTAACATCAATTTTCTTCATGCCAAATAGGATACTACAGTGGATCTTTTGTATGAAGACCGTGCAATTAAGGATCGCGAAGAAGACTGTGACCACTTTTTCATATTGAAGGACGATGTTGGTACCGTGTGTCGCATTTGTGGGTATATTGAGAAAAGTATTGAAACAATCATTGACCTCCAATTTGGAAAGGTTTCATTGGCCCTGTTTGGTAAAATGGTTGTTAGCTGATAGTTGTTAGCTGTTAGCTGATTGTGTTAATTAGAGGGTATAAATAGTGATAACATTAGCTGATTGTAGAAAAGTGTTTGGTAAATTAGCTTTTAGTTGTTAGTTGTTTGGTATAATTTCTTTTTTCAAAAAGCTAATTGAAAAAATTGCTTGGAATAACTTTTTGAATTTTAGCCTTTTGGAGTTGCAAAAAGCTAATTAACCAAACATTTATATTGATATTTTAACTAAATCAAACAATTAATAGTGGTCAAATAAGTCAAAATGTGGTTTGAGTGGAATGAATATGATGGTCACTGTGATTTTCAAATAGAAGAGGTTGATGTCAAGACCTGTGGTGATATGTTTCTTGAAACAACATGTTTGAGTGAAGATGTTATCTCTCTTTTTAAAAGGTCTGTGAATTCATTTCCCCCAATCTATTTCAATTGCAAGATGCTTTTAGCTTTGACTTATGTTTTCAAATTCGATTTTCCAGATAAAGATGAAATCTTTTACAAGGGAAAGAAGCAAGAGAGGTTTTACTGTAAGTATGGTTGCTATGACAATACGCCTTGATTGTCTCCTTCATATAATAGACAGCAGCTTTTTGACAAGCTTTGTATATATAAGATTTAACAATCAATATAATTGAAAATGGTATGTTATTCAAGAAAAGAATTGAAAATGGTATGAAAACAGTATTTGATGCTTTGATATATGCTGAGAGTAGTTCTCCTGCAAAATGATTTTACCGTCAAGGAAATTAGATTTTCTTTATGATACGTAGTATGTGATATTAGCTTATAAAGTTATTTTGTTTTTCAAGTTCAAGCTTTTAGTTAATTATTTTTAAATCATGTACTTTTTTTAAATTATTTTAGTTAAATCATGTACTTATATATTACAATCGCCTTATTTATTTATTTTAATTTTGAAGTATAAAAATACATAAACATATATTAAAGGTATTAAAACCCAACAGGGTAGCTCAAGTGACAAATGAGCTCTCTTTGTGGGGGAGAATTCCGGGATAACCCGGGTTTGATTTCCACAAGTGACAATCCCCTTTGGGCCAGTTTCTATGTCTCTCGGAGCGAACTGGGTGGACCTGGACCGTTAAACGGACAAAGAAAAAGACCCGGACCATAATGTGTAGTTGACACCAAAAAAAAAAAAGGCATTAAAGTATAAAAAATATATTATAACATAAAAAATAATCTCTAAACCAAACATGTTTATATTACATACTTTAGTTTTAACCAAATTTAGAAATTTAACATTTTCAAAAATCAAATTTAAAAATTTAACATTTTCAAGAATCTAAATTGCTTAAGATAATCTAAGGTGTGTGTACAATCATGACTTTTGTAGACTTTTAAAGATTTTTAACATGATAGATTTTAATAAACTTTGATTAACTTTCACAGAGTCGTTCAAAACTTTTTAAAACTTTATAAGACTATAAAAGTCTATATAAAAAACATTCATAAACTTTTATCAACTTTTTATTTTAAAAAGTCTACAAAAGTCTTTGAAATTCTAAATTGAATACATCATTACAAACTTACAATGATTTCAATTCTTATCATTTATAATTTTCTTACAAAACATGTTACAGAGTATAATATATCATAAAATTCTTCTTATTATATAAGTATTTATATGAATACTATGAAACATATAGTAAAATTTGACGATGATAGATTAAAAATTTGCTTTGTTCATATATTAGGGAGAATTAAAAAAGAAATTGCACATTTTCACAAACAAATGCATTAATGACAAACATTACCATATAAGCTTGTTAGCTTGACACAAGTTCTTTTATATTCAATGACCGTAACAAACACAACAAGTGCAAAGATAGAAGTTTTATGGTTTTATAATTTGGGTCGGGTGATGTATGAGAAAAGTAGAAAACTATAGTCACGTATCCGAGCCCAAATTACAAAACATTTAACTCCTACGGCAATTTATATCCTACACCACGGCGCGCGTTGCACTATGCGCCCAGATGCAAAACGACGTCGTTTTAATTTTTTTTTTTTTTTGAAATTTCCCGCCCCAGTGAATGGCAGTAGTTTTTTCTTTAAAAAAAAAAAAAACCCGCTGTTCAAGAATGTACATAATGTTATACTAGAATACACATAATGTTATACATGAATGTACATAATTATATAACAAAATATACACACTCTTTTTAAAAGATAATACACATAATCTAACATAATACATAATAAACATAAACTTTTAACATAATACACATCAACTCTTAACATAATACACACAAATTTTCTGATTCGGATGTACATAATTGTATAAAAAGAATGTACATAATTGTATAAAAATACACATAACTGTATGAACCAATACACATAACGTTGTGAACAAATACACATAACGTTGTGAACAAATACACATAATCTCAGCAACTTCCCACTGCGCCTCCCAACACTACCCCAAAACGACGTCGTTTTGGGAGCGCGCGGCGCACAGTGCTATGTGCGCCGTGGTGTAGGATATAACGATTGTAACTCCTACTCTAAAAAATAGTGCGAGGGTTCTTGGTAAAAATTTTTTGTGCGATTTCTCTCTCCGTTGCTCGCGAACTATATTGTTGTCTCAGATATGGAAAATAAGAAGACGAATAAGTGATAGCCAATACTCTCCCTCCACCGTCTTCATTTCTAACTTGCCTTTCTCCTTTAGCAACACTGAGGTATCTTCTATCATCTAACAATACAGTAGATATCTATGTATATGCATACATATATTTATATCTCAATTTGTTCAACTTCTACTTTTGTTTTGGTGATAAAACAGCTAGAACAAACGTTCAGTGAAGTTGGCCCCATCAGAAGGTGCTTTTTAGTAACAAAAAAAAAAGATAAATGCTCGAATAATTATACCTAAACTTCTGGAATTTGTATCACTGATGTGTTGTTATGATTTCTGAACACGAGAAGGAGTTAGAGGTTTTGTAATTTGGGCGGGGTGATGTATGAGAAAAGTAGAAAACTATAGTCAAATATCTGAGCTCATCTTAAATATAAGGAGTTGTTATATCATATATCAGGTCCAGCTTGCAAGGTAGATCCAGATTCAAAATATTGAATTGTGAATATGGGTGAGCAAACGGTCGATCGGTTACATAACCGACCGAATAACCGACTAAGAGTTTTGACCTTCGTAATCGACCGAAACCGACCGAGGGTGGTTCCATGACCGACCGATAACCGACCGTCAGTTATCGGTCGGTTACCAAAAAACCAAATTATAAAAAGATCAATCAAAATCCAAAAGACTAAGTTCAAAATACATAAACATACATACTATTTTGTTTACTGCCCATGCCCAAATTCAAAATTCAAAAGAAATGATACTAGTATTAAACTATTAATTAACTATGGGGGTTGTCTCATTTTAGGGTGAGAGTGCGAGATAGACAGTGGGTGTCTGAGGGGGGTTGTCTCATTTTATGGTTTAGGCTATGGGGCTTTGGGGGTATAAATCTCATTTTATGGTTTAGGCTATAGACTTTAATATAATTAATATATTTAATATATATAAATACTATGGCTCTGTTTGGCAAACCTAGCTGAAAAGCTATAAGCTACGAGTTGAAAGCTGAAAAAGAGCTGAAAGCTGAAAGGCTATAAGCTCGGAGCTGAAAACTGAAAAGCTGTTAAGCTAGCTGTTATGATTGAAAGTGTTTGGTAAAATTAGCTTTTTGATAAGCTGATAAATGTAAAAAGACTAAAATGGACATCTTCATAAAAGTTAAATTAGTTTGTTTACCTATTAAAATTTAACATTTTGTCTTTAAAAAATAATATTAACATTTTGAAATAAAACTATTAGCATAATATGATCTATCATTTCATAATGAAGTAGCAATATTGTTGCGAATCTCATAATAATAATAAAAATATTATTATTATTTTTTGTTTAAATGCTACTAGCTCTATTACAATGTAATATCTGTTCATATACTTTCTCAACCTACTGAAACACAAAAAGCTAATAACACCTCCACTGAGGCTCGAACTTACAACCTTTTAAATGAAAGTCCAACCCGGGTACCATTAGACCACATAGTCCTAGTATAATTATTATTATTATTATTATTATTAAAATTATTATTTTTATTATTATTAAAATTATTATTATTATTATTATTATTATTATTATTATTATTATTATTATTATTATTATTATTATTATTATTATTATTTGCGGTGAAAGTTGCGGATAAAGAAGAAGAGAAAAGGGTTTTAATTGGGAAGGGTAAATTATGCCATTTCTTTAAAATAATAAGGATAAAGATGAAAAAAAAGTTAAGAAGCTAGGAGCTTATTTTGAAACGCTACCTAAGGTAGCGTTCCAAAATAAGCTCTTATTTTAAGCTAGAAGCTTATTTTGGGACATTACCAAACAGAGCTTATAGCTTATTAGTAGCTTAAAATAAGCTATAAGCTCCTAAATAAGCTCTGCTAAACAGAGCCTATATATCGATTATCGGTCACCGACTAATAACCAACCTCCAATAACCGTTTTATAACCGAAAAACCGAAAAACCGACAATTTGTAAAAAGTAAAAACTGTAACCGACCGATAACCAATTTTTTCGGGCGGTTCGATTATCGGCTAGCGGTTTCGGTTGGTTAACCGACATTTTGCTCACCCCTAATTGTGAACATTTAGTATGTAAATTGTTGGACCGAGTTCCACATAACAATTTATCCTATTTAAGGAGTTTGGTCACAAAATGTTAGGGAGGTGTATTCAATCATGATTTTCATAGAGTTTTAAAGACTTGTATGAACATAGGTTTAAGTGAAGGTATTATTTGATATATGCAAACAAGATCACAAGGTGATCTTAACCTTCATCCTATAAACCTAGAGCTTTCAAGAGATTTAAGGAAATTAAGAAAAGACTTCAATTGGTTGAAAGAGTTTGGCAAATTATGCTGTGCATCCGTATGCACCATGCATGGTGCATACGGATGCAAAAACGACGTCGTTTTATTAAAAACGTGCGTCTCACTTAAAAAAAAAAATCAGTTTCGATTCCCATCAACAACATATGAACTAAAATTCCAGAATCTATGAACTAAAATTCCATAATGAATGAACTAAAATTCCAGAATCTAATCTATGAACTAAAAATTCCAGAATGAATGAACTAAAATTCCATAATCTATGAACTAAAATTTCAGAATCGATGAACTAAAATTCCAGAATCGATGAACTAAAATTCCAGAATCAATGAAC